CATGTTTCACAATTAGCCAATAATAACGTGTTATCCAATTTCATGTGACGACCAATCACGAGAAAGTTATCCTATATCCTCTACCCTAGCTCCATCAAGATCGGTATTGCCGATCCATCAGGAATAGTATTTTTGCGACGCTCCCACAAAAAATTGTCCACCCCTTGTAATTTTGACCAATCGAAACGAAGCCACTTTTTTACAAAAAAAACGTTCCTCGTGATGTTTTATTAATAAACGTTATCCTAACCCTAACTATACCACGGTTTTCTTTGTTTTCATTTTACACATAACTTTTTTACTTAGAAAACAAAACACGTTTGTTTTGACACCTGATCTTAAATTTTGATTGGTCAAAATTACCAATTTGGAACGCTACCGGTTACGGTACGATTTCCCGAAAGCTATTTTCCCCGACATGTCACCTACCCGATATCACGCAGGTGACAATTTGCTAAAATATATATCTACAACAACAAAATGCTAACCCTAACCATATGTGATGTCAGGTAAATAGTTTTTCGGGAAAGTGAGAATCAACGAACGCTACCCAGTGTTTAAAATTGGCTTGCACAAGATGCACATGTGCAAGAGTTTTTTTAGAATTTTTTTAAATTTTTAAAAAATCTTTTAAGTGTGCAAGTAAAATTTTTAAAAAAATTTGCACAAAATATATTTGTGCAAGTGATTTTTTTTTTGAATTTTAAACACTGACGCTACCTACCTAAAATGAACTTGGTATATTTCCCGACTGAAATGCTAAGGATCGCCGATTTTACAACCCATGTTATATAATCCTGTAATCGGTTCTTATTATTGACATGTTATAAATATTCCGACTTGGAAAAAAATTTTTCTAACCATTTTTATTTATTGCATTGATTTTTTGAAGTCACAAACCAGTTTTGTAAAATATATACACCATGTCTACACGCTCAAACAGCCGTCAGCTAAGGTTATTATTTCTATTTTATCAAATTAATAATGTTATAACCATTTCTAACACGGCTTTCGCGTTTGCAGATATGTCGTTGAAATGTCATTATTTTGTATCGTTCTAGTTGATCCTCTTACGAGTCCTTTTGCGGCAGACATTGCAGAAAAAAATCACATTGATAATATTGAAATTTCTATAGATGATCTCACCGTTTGGCATCTCAAGAAACTCATCTGGAAGCAGAAACAACGTACACTTGCTGATATTGACCCTGACCAACTAACGCTATGGAAGGTCGAAGGTCTTAGTGAAAGGAAGCAGGCAGTGGGAAATACTCGAAAATTCTCACCTCGAAATTGACATAAAGAAAGAATTTGAGGGTGTGAAGTTATTCTCAACTATGAAGTTTAAAGAAGCTTTCCCGGGCAAACTTCCAGATAATGTCGTCCATGTTATCGTGCAATTACCCAGTAAGTGTTCCCAATAATTTACTTCTTTGAATAAGAATGTTTGTAACTCATTTTAGTCGAAAATACTTATATTTGATCAGGAAAAAGAAACCGAGATGATTCGGACGAAAAAAGCGAAGGCCAAGAAAGTAAAAAAGTAAAACTCGTAGGTGTGTATAATTTTTTAGATTTTTGTTTTAAAACCGAATATCGATCATCTTACCATACATAATTGTTTTTTTTTAGCAACTGCTAGTAAAATAATGGAGGGAATAATGAAACTTCCTGATATTTGTAACGTTTATTCAGATCCGAAAAATTTCCTTTTATTACCATTTCCATATCCTGGATCAAATCTACCAGTAGATAGGTTTGCTATTGATGAAGATGGCCTTTTCACCTTTATGGGAAGAAAAGAATTTATAAATATTTTGAACCAAATCAACACATTTAAATCACGCACTGGTTATATGGAAATGTTTATTTATGGCACAGTTGGGTATGGAAAATCTCATATTCTTACAGCAATAGCTTGCTTTCTTTTCCGGATTGGAAGGCGCGTTGTATATCTTCCCGATTGTCGCAAACTGGCTGTAGACCCAATAGAATACATTAAATCAGCTTTATTTCTCACCTATGTGAATAATGATGTGAAAACGAGCGAAATTAATACTTGTGAAAGTTTTGATCAGATTATAAAATTTTGCAGATCATTAGATGAAACATTATATTTTATTGTAGATCAAATGAATGCTCTGGACGAGTGTAATGATACAGGAATTAATCCAGAAAAGAAGCGACAAGTTAAAGAAAATATTGATAAATTGTGCTGGAATCATTTTTACATTAAGAGCTCTTTGGCAAGCAACCATGCAGTATTGCACCTTAAGCAGAAACAGACTAATGAAAAGAAAATTACATTTTATGGAGGATTTGATGAGGTACTATTAAAATGACCGATTCCGCATCACTTCACCGACACTCATTTGTAGACTTCACCGATACTTATTTCACCGAAAAGTTCATTTCACCTTAGTTTATTTCATCGATAGCTCATTCATTGACAAATTTATTTATAAATTACACTAACCTTAACTCCAGAATTATCTTGTCTGTGAAATGAGCCGTCGGTGAAATAAACTGTCAGTGAAATAAACATGCCGGTGAATTGATTGTCGGTGAATTGTAGTGTCTACGAAATGAGCATCGGTGAAATAAGCGGGAACGAGATGACCTATGTTGTAATTTTCTGCGTATGAATATAATATTCATTTTAGGAGGAGATGGAAGAATGGTGGAAGAGGCATAATTCCGTTTTGCCAGCAATGGATAACTTGCAAAAAGACCAAATTGAAGACATTACAGGCAAAATTCCACTTTTCTTAAACGTTTTGCTAGAATCTGAAAGCAAAAATTTTGAAGAGGCGTTGGGCTATTTAGATCAACAATTAATACCAAAGATAAAGGAGCTGATGACGAACTTTTCAGACAATATACCAGAAGGGAGGCAGGAATTGTATGTATTTTTGGTTGCTTCGTGATTCATAAGCTTTATGAAAACTGACTTTTCTATTCACGCAGTCACATTAAATTGATGTCATCGTTTCTAACAAAGGGATATCCTCCAAGTGGTTATGGTGTTAGTGATTTTGATCATCGTTTTTTTTCTACATTGAAAATGAAATATGCCATTATGTTTGTGGAGTGGCGCGGGATTGCATGGCTAATTATCTCTATGAAAAGAAACGAATGGAAATATTCATAGATATAAAATGAATTAATTGCATAGAGAAATTCAAAAACAACCCATCGGTTAAAGGATTTTTTGCGGAAAAGGCGTGTATTGCTAGTATTTTTAAGAATGGAATTATGGCGAATAGCGTAAATTTTAAGCCTAACGATATAGAATTTTTTGTGACGAAAAAGAAATCAGATTTGCTTCGAATAAAGGGGCATGCATACTTTACTTACCACGCCGTTGGAACCAAGAGGCAATCGATGGATTACTGATTTCGAAAACAAATAATAAACTATATATTGCCCCAATACAGATTGCCCTTGACAAGAGTAGTCATTTAGATTTTGAAAGAATATTTTTCTGATATTTGGCCAAATTTAAAGTCAACCTTATCAGGTTTTGAGGACAGATTAGAAATAGTATTTATATGGATTACAAGCAAAAGTGATACAGACATAAAAGTGGAAGTTAATTCTACAGTGCAGACAACCTAGTCCCGACCAATAAAATTGATGTAATTCAAATTGCTAATCCTTTTTCAAAAAAAATAGTAACCAAAAAATACTATCTTAAAATGTTAAATCAAAACAAGCTAAACACTCCCAAGTTCTTAAATTTTTTTTAAATCTATTTATAAAAAAGTTATAGCAAGTTGAAGTTATAGTATTTTTATAATTAA